ATGGGCCCTTTGGTTTGCATTGTTTAAGTTCTTATGGAATAACCACACACTGCATTCTCCCCCTGTCATTCTCAGTCTCCCTGGGTAAAGTAATGATGTGTTGGATCTTATCACTGTTTTTCCTGTCATTCTGAACGACGCTCACGAGGTAAATAAATTCAACACAATTATGACAATCGAGGAACTCAATGTCAAATGAATGAGCAGATGGCTATAGGCCTCCACTGTGTTCTGTAGAGAGAGAGAGATATCGACTCGAAGCAAGATAAGATATCCAGCGACAATTATGTTAATGACAGTGACAGTCTGGGCTCTCGGCGGCTCTACAAGGGGAGATTCGCCATCGCCCCGGTCGGGAGCGGCTATCATTAGCATTAGCATTGTTCACACATCCCCTCATCTTAGGCCCTGCTTTTCTCTACCCCTCCCCCTTTCTCCTCCTCCTCCATCTCTCTCCTCCTCCTCCCGCCTGTGTCCTCTCTTTTTTTTTCACTCACCGCAGTGTTGCTATAGCAACCGAGAACTGTGGGAATACCTCTGTCCTTCAGAGAGAGGGAGAGAGAGAGAGAGAGAGAGAGAAAGAGAAAGGGAGAGAGAAAGGGAGAAGGCGGAGAGAGGGAGAGAAATAGAGAGGGAAAGAGAGAAAAAGAGAGGGAAGGAAGCGGCTAAAGGGACTGGTTAATTAAAAGACAGACTGAGTGGCTGGCTCACTATTGACTGAATGGACATTACTTAGCCCCTGACTCCCAGCGTTTGTCCCCCCTCACTAAAGCGCCCCATTCATATTCACTCTGGCTGAAAGAGACTGTGTTATCATGAGGATTAACCCGACCAAGATGGAGAGTAGTCACACACGCCGTGGCATTTGCATGCGCTTGTACGCACGCCATTTGTTTGTCGATCCATGTGTTCTAGTTGTCTCCATTTGTAGTAGCGAGGCTGCTGTTTCCATGACAACCCGCGGCCTAAAATAGCTCGCTCTTTCCCTCACCGTCCTTTTTGCCCTCACTCTTTCTCTCTTTCTCTTGTGCTCTTTCTCACAACAGTTCATTCCCATTGGAGCCTTTTGTGTTGAAATGCCCTGCACTGTTTGGTAACGTTCACTCGTTTGGTGGATTTGTGTATCCTTCCACCTCTCATCTCCCATTTTCAGATTAGGTCAAAATGCATCAACTGCTGGGTTTCCATGACAACCATTGTGAAATTGTGGCAATTACAGTGCATTCGGAAAGTATTCAGACCCCTTCCCTTTTTCCACATTTTGTTACGTTACAGCCTTATTCAAAAATAGATTACATTTATTTTTTTCCTCATCAATCTACACACAACACTCCATAATGACTAAGTGAAAACAGGTTTTCAGAAATGTTTGCAAATGTATTGAAAACGAAAAAGAGAAATACCTTATTTACATAAGTATTCAGAACCTTTGCTATGAGACTCGAAATGGAGAGTCTTAAATGGAAGAAGTTTGGAACCACAAAGACTATTCCTAGAGCTGGCCACCTGGCCAAACTGAGCAATCGGGGGAGAAGGGCCTTGGTCAGGGAGGTGACCAAGAACCCGATGGTCATTCTGACAGAGCTCCAGAGTTCCTCTGTGGAGATGGGAGAACCTTTAAGAAGAACAACCATCTCTGCAGCACTCCACCAATCAGGCCTTTATGGTAGAGTGGCCAGACGGAAGCCACTCCTCAGTAAAAGGCACATGACAGCCCGCTTGGAGTTTGCCAAAAGCCACCTAAAGGACTCTCAGACCATGAGAAACAAGATTCTCTGATCTGATGAAACCAAGATTGAACTCTTTGGCCTGAATGCCAAGTGTCACGTCTGGAGGAAACCTGGCACCATCCTTACGGTGAAGCATGGTGGTGGCAGCATCATGTTGTGGGGATGTGTATCAGCAGCATGGACTGGGAGACTAGTCAGGATCAAGGGAAAGATGAACGGAGCAAAGTACAGCGAGATCTTTGATGAAAACCTGCTCAAGGGCACTCAGGACCTCAGACTGGGGCGAAGGTTCACATTCCAACAGGACAATGACCCTAAGCACACAGCCAAGACAACGCAGGAGTGGCTTCATGACAAGTCTCTCTGTCATTTTCAAGTCTTGCTATAGATTTCAATGTCATCTTGGTAAGCAACTCCAGTGTATATTTGGCCTTGTGTTGTAGGGCCCCGTGTAGCTCAGTTTGTAGAGCATGGCGCTTGCAACGCCAGGGTTGTGGGTTCGTTTCCCACGGGGGGCCAGTATGAAAATGTATGCACTCACTAACTGTAAGTCGCTCTGGATAAGAGCGTCTGCTAAATGACTAAAATGTAAATGTAAAATGTTATTGTCCTGCTGAAAGGTACATTTGTCTCCCAGTGTCTGTTGGAAAGTAGACTGAACCAGGATTTACTCTAGGATTTTGCCTGTGCTTAACTCTATTCCGTTTATTTTTATTGTTAAAAAAAAATCCCCATTCCTTGCTGATGACAAGCATACCCATAACATGATGCAGCCACCACTATGCTTGAAAATATGAAGAGTTGTACTCGGTGATATGTTGTGTTGGATTTGCCCCAAACATAACGCTTTGTATTCAGGACATGACGTTCATTTCTTAGCCAAATTCTTTGCAGTTTTACTTCAGTGACTTATTGCAAACAGGATGCATGTTTTGGAATATTTTTATTCTGTACAGGCTTCCTTCTTTTCACTCTGTCTATTAGGTTGGTATTATGGAGTAACTACAATGTTGTTGATTCATCCTCAGCTTTCTCCTATCACAGCCATTAAACTCTGTAACTGTTTTAAAGTCACCATTGGCCTCATGGTGAAATCCCTGAGCGATTTCCAACTGAGTTAAGAAGGACGTCTGTATCTTTGTAGTGACTGGGTCTATTGATACGCCATCCATAGTGTAATACATTTTTTACCCATCTATCAATAGGTACCCTTCTTTGCGAGGCATTGGATAACCTCCCTGGTCTTTGTGGTAGTCATTCAAAAATCATTTTAAACACTATTACTTCACACACAGTGAGTCCATGCAACTTATTATGTGACTTGTTAAGCACATTTTTACTCCTGAACTTATTTAGGTTTGCCATAACAAAGAGATTGAAAATGTATTGACTCAAGACATTTCAGCTTTTCATTTTTAATGAATTTGTAAAAATTTCAAAAAACACAATTCCACTTTTACATGATGGGGTATTGTGTGTAGGGAAGTGACAACAAAACTCAATGTAATCAATTTTAAATTCAGGTTGTAACACAACAAATTGTGGAAAAAGTCAAGGGGTGTGAATACTTTCTGAAGGCACTGTATGTGTGTGCGTGTGTGCGTGTGTGTGTGTGTGTGAATGCCTACAGTGTGGGCATACTATTTGTGGCTTATGGCTGTATACTCAAATGTCTCATTTAGCTTGTACTGCTAGACCATCCTACTCTGTATAAACATACCTACACTCTTACAAAAAATGGTTCCAAAAGGGTTCTTTGGCTGTCCCCATAGGAGAACCCTTTTTTGTTCCAGGAAGAACCCTTTTGGGTTCCATGTAGAACCCTCTGTAGAAAGGGTTCTACATGGAACCCAAAAGTGTTCTACCTGCGACCAAAAATGTTTCTTCAAAGGGTTCTCCTATGGGGACAGCCGAAGAACCCTTTAAGGTTCTAGATAGCACCTTTTTTTCTAAGAATGTACAGGGTTACAAAATAATGAACTGATGAATAAGTGAGCACTAAAAGTCAGCTCACTTGTTCCAATCATGATGGGGCATAAACTGTAAGCCTATAGTACATCATGTTACCCTATTTTACTGACCCATAAGGCGACTTTGATACTAACAGATCCCTACAAGTTTGCTAAGTCAGGGAAAACACTGCAGGCACTGTAATTTTGGGGCAAAACCCATGGTGGATGACATGGCACGATATAATGAGTGTTTGTGGCCCTGGGCTGTGTGTGTGGTGTGTGTGGATACATGCATTCATGTGTGCATGTGTGCGTGTGTGCATACGTGCGTGTGTGCTTGCATGTTTTAATGCATTCATGCATGTGTCTGTGTGCCCACGGATGTGTGTGTGTGTTTATGTGTGTGTGTGTGTGTGTGTGTGTGTGCGTGCGTATGTGTGTGTGAGGGGGGGGGGGGGGGGGGGGGAGCTAAGTGAGGCACCAGGTGAGTAAGGCTATGATTCTCATGTTTAGGGCTTGTTTCACCATAGGCACTGTATGGCTGCTACATAAGGAGAGCTGTCCTGTCTGAGGTGGACATATATGTCTACAGATCAAATGCGAATCTAAAGAGAACTGCCAGGGTATATTGGTCCATTGGTACGTCAAGGGAGAGAGAGTGAGATTGACAGAGACAGTGATTTGGGATTTTGAGCGGCCAGTGTGATTTGGGAGCAGGCGTCACAAGTGAGAGAGGAAGAGAAGAGGAAGAAGGGGTCAGGTATGTGGGATATGAAAGCAGTGCATCCTTTAGTGGAACATGAACTAAATGTCAAGTCATATCTGTGTATAGCTTCACAGATAAGATTTACTGCAGTGGGCCTTTTTCTCATAGATTTCTTAAAATACAAACAGCTGTAAGGAACCACACCAGTCTGTTACATACAAATTAAGGTAAGTGAACATTTGCAGTAATTATGTTTTATAATTATTATAATTTGTTACATGACAGGTCATCATTTACATTTAATGACATAAGAGTTCAAAACAAATGAACAAATTATTATTAAACGAACAAACTATTATTAGTTAATTAACAACTGTTAAACTTGTGGAATTTGAATCACCATTACATTTATATAAAATAATGACTTTATTAATGGACTTGCCAAATAGTGTGTTTCTGCTCAAAGTTTCCAAGTAATATTGAGTGAGAAAATAGACTGAATTTGGCAGAACGTTTTCATTGTCTTTATCGATATTCGATATTAGCTTTTTTTTCAGTTAACCTCTAAAAGGCGTCCCCACTGTAACAGAAGTGAAAGAAACTACAGAAGAGATGGTGGGGTACCTGAAGATTTTGGGATACGTTTTACTTCTCTCTTGTGTCTCATCGACTGAATCCCGCGTTCTGAAATTTGTTGTCGCCGTAAGTCTTTTCAGTTCTGCTTTACTGTTCTGGGGTTTGTTTTGAAATGTTTGATGAAATCCTGACAGATTTAACACTTGCTTTATGCTTGAAGGGAAAATAAGTAAAAAGATAATCAATAATCATATTGTATTTCATGCCTGATGTAGGAGCCATGTATTAACCCAATCAATCAAGCTTAATTTAACCCAATTTAGCCCAATTTATACCTGGTTCTAACATGTGTCCTTTGTTCTAATCTTGTCCACATTTTGATTGTGCCCACATTTTTAGACAGGTGTAGATGATTAAAAGACGCATTGTTTTCTGATTGTGATCAGATCTTCCTGACCACCTCCGGAGGGACTAGGATATCTGGTCACAATGAGGACACAGTAAACAGATAAGAGATACATTTTAATACCATGTGGAGATGCAACGGCTAATATGTCGGCACAATCAGAATGTGGATAACATTAGGACAAAGCACACGTTAGCACCAGGTATAAAAGATACTTCTGCATATCACATAAGAATATAAGACATATGACTTGTGTACGGTACTGTAGCTCTATACATATGACATAAAACATATGACTGGCGTAAGGTATTTCGTCATGGCGATCGATCCCCCATTGAGTCATTTCCCATGGACCCTCATGGAGAGGAAGTGTGGGAACAAGGCTTCGGGCAGCTAACTGAGGTACAGAAATCCTATTTGAGTATGCAATGACAATGATATTTCAAAAAAACATATCCCAATACCTATATTTTCATTCTGAATGTGCCTGTAACTTCTACCACAACAATAAGACAACTATAAGCTTAAGCAAGCACACACATTTTTTTTAGGAAAAGTTGAAGGAGTCTGTCATGAAATGTTAGACAATCCTGTACCACATCAAAAACAAGCAATATTATCACAGTAGTATCTCCCAAATCATCTCTGTAGAAGTTCTTACTTGACCTAGGCTGTTGTGTGAGGTCTAAGCTTTCTCTCGTCTTTTTTTGTCTCACTTGGCTCAGTTGGGGATGAGACAGCAGTTTGATTTGGGCAGGTTTCTAAAGAGACGCTATGGACACTTCCTCAGTGAAGACTACAACAGCAAAGAGGTGCGTTACTGGAGCCCAAACGTGTACATATTACACAGGAGAGAAATTACATTGATTACCATGTGTGCTGCTTGTGCATTTGAGTCGTGCCATATCTATTTCGGGCTATACGTCTATGTTCTTTGGAGCATATGACCACACGTTATGTGGTACTTAGTGCCTGCAATGTCTGTTTTGGTGTAGGCTAATGAGAATGACTCATGTTGATGACATCATCACCCCGGCCTCATAACATGATGTAACATGTGGGCTAGTCTCGCCTGATCTCGCATTAGACTGCATGCATGTTGTTTGGCTCTGTGTGCCCCAAGGCTGTTTGGATCATACTGGCATTACAACAAAGATCTGATTTCCCTCTTCCCGTCACTCTCTTTCTTCCTCCATTCTATCTCTTTATATTTTTCTCTCTCGTCCCCCTCCCTCTGTCCATAAAGTAACATGCAATTATCACCAAAAATAACTACTTTACTAATTCGCTGTCGCTAAGGATTTGTTGTCGCACTCAAGTTTCAGCTCATGCTGTACCTTTCATGTCCCCTTGACATCCGAATTCAAACAAGCTTTATCGGCATCACAGGAAAAGCCAATGTTGTCAAAATGATTTACAGTGTGCAATCACTTCACATATGATGACAGAAAAGGGAAAAGCACATTTTAAGTAGAACATATTCATTCTTAATACAGTAAAGCTTTGTTCCATTATGCACACTGGCATACCCCTTACTGTACAGTGAAGCAGTTTTTTGGACATGCATTCTCTAAGTGGTATGCTGGTATAGACATAGGAACCTAAGCTTTACTTCTTCCGCTCCACACAGGTGTACGTGCGGAGCACAGACTATGACCGCACTCTAATGAGTGCCCAGGCTAACCTGGCTGGGCTGTTCCCCCCAAACAGACGCCCCCCTCCCCTCATGCCCCAGTTACCATGGCGGCCCATTCCAGTGCACACTGTCACCAGAGCCCAGGATAAGGTAGGCGGGCGCAGGGCTCTAAAGTGCGACCAAATATTTTGCTGTGCGACCAGGAGTTTTATTTTGGGAGCACTGAGCGACTATGAAAAAAATCTGTAACGATAAGGCTTCGCTGTACCATTGTTTCTGGGTGCCCTAGAGAAACAACTGAAGGCAGATTCATTCGCGTCGTGGTTAAACAATTACTACAGCGAAAACGGCGTGCTTCTAGCCCAACCAGGTCAAAAGATCTGACCCATATTATCGGCCTAACATTTGTATCTTCCTATAGCGGATCGATCACTAGCTGTCAGCTCCCTCCAGAAAAGACAGGTAGAGGAACGGTAACGTATGGCGGATGGTTGGAAATGGCGGCGAGTAGTGCGGACGAAGTGGAGGAAATGGTTGGAGAAGCAACAGCTGTGCTGGAATGCGATCAATATGGGTGACAGTTCTGATGATGTGGAGCGGGAGGATTAGGGTCAAGGATCTGAATGGTCTGTAGTGGAAAGAGATAGGAAGAAGAGAGATAATGATACTGAAAGCAGTGGAGCGTCTAGTATACAAAGCATAAAGAGGGCCAAGGTAGGAAGCAAGAGTAATAATGTGTCGGAATGGAAACTTGTGATGGTGTTTGATGAGACCACATGGCCTCATTTACACCCTATCCAATTAACCAATGCCATAGAGAAAGAGATAGGTGAAGTCAAACTAGCCAGGTTCATTAGAAATGGTAGATTGCTAATATTTTGTGGTAGCCAGGCTCAGCAAGGGAAGATTCTGCAAATGTAAAAGCTTAATGGGAAGAAGATTAAAAGCCACGTCCCTGGTGCTTATGCTAGGTTGAGGAGGGTCATCACTGGGGTCCCAATATCTATGTCCATAGATGATATTAAAGAAAATGTGAAGGAATGCAGAGTGATTGAGGCCAAAAGGTTGATCAGAAGGAAAGAGGGTCAAAAAAGTGAAAGCTTATCAGTGCTGCTGAGGTTTGAGAAGGTTTTTCCTGGAAAAGTACAGATAGGATTCCTTAGTTTCAATTTCAGAGAATTTGTCCCATCCCCATTGCGGTGTTTTAAATGCCAAAAAATGGGACATATAGCTGTTCAGTGTAAAGGAAAGAAAAGATGTGCCAAGTGTGGAGGGGAACATGATTACGGTGAATGTGGGAGCAATGTGAAGGTTAAGAGTTGTAATTTTTTTACATTACAGCCTTATTCTAAAATTGACTAAATAGTTTTTTTCCCCCTCATCAATCTACTCACAATACCGCATAATGACAAAACAAAAACAGGTTTTTATAATATTTTTTCCAAATAAAATAACAAAATAACTGAAATATCACATTTACATAAGTACTCAGAACCTTTACTCATATCAAATTTTATTTGTCACATGCGCTGAATACAACAGGTGTACAGTCGTGGTCAAAAGTTTTGAGAATGACACAAATACTAATTTTCACAAAGTCTGCTTCCTCAGTTTTGATGATGGCAATTTGCATATACTCCAGAATGTTATGAAGAGTGATCAGATGCCATGAAAATGAACTTAATCCCCCAAAAAACATTTCCACTGCATTTCAGCCCTGCCACAAAAGGACCAGCTGCCATCATGTCAGTGATTCTCTTGTTAACACAGGTGAGAGTGTTGACGAGGACAAGGCTGGAGATCACTCTGTCATGCTGATTGAGTTAGAATAACAGACTGGAAGCTTTAGGCCTACCGCTGTTGTGTCACTGGCAAACTTAATGATGGTGTTGGAGTCGTGCCTGGCCATGCAGTCATGAGTGAACAGGGAGTACAGGAGGGGGCTGAGCACGCACCCCTGAGGGGCCCCCGTGTTGAGGATCAGCGTGGCGGATGTGTTGTTACCTACCCTTACCACCTGGGGGCGGCCCGTCAGGAAGTCCAGGATCCAGTTGCAGAGGGAAGTGTTTAGTCCCAGGGTCCATAGCTTAGTGATGAGCTTTGAGGGCACTATGGTGTTGAACGCTGAGCTGTAGTCAATGAATAGCATTCTCACATAGGTGTTCCTTTTGTCCAAGTGTGAAAGGGCAGTGTGGAGCGCAATAGTGATTGCATCATCTGTGGATCTGTTAGGGTGATATGCAAATTGGTTTTCATCAAGGATCTCTCTGTACTTTGCTCCGTTCATCTTTCCCTCGATCCTGACTAGTCTCCCAGTCCCTGTCGCTGAAAAACATCCCCACAGCATGATGCTGCCACCACCATGCTTCACCGTAGGGATGGTGCCAGGTTTCCTCCAGACGTGACGCTTGGCATTCAGGCCAAAGAGTTCAATCTTGTTTTATTAAGACCAGAGAATCTTGTTTCTCATGGTCTGAGAGTCCTTTATGTGCCTTTTGGCAAACTCCAAGCGGGCTGTCATGTGCCTTTTACTGAGGAGTGGCTTCCGTCTGGCCACTCTACCATAAAGGCCTGATTGGTGGAGTGCTGCAGAGATGGTTGTCCTTATGGAAGGTTCTCCCATCTCCACAGAGGATCTCTGGAGCTCTGTCAGAGTGACCATCGGGTTCTTGGTCACCTTCCTTCTCCCCCGATTGCTCAGTTTGGCTGGGCGGCCAGCTCTGGGAAGAATCTTAGTGGTTCCAAACTTCTTCCATTTAAGAATGATGGAGGCCACTGTTTTCTTGGGGACCTTCAATGCTGCAAAAATATTTTGGTACCCTTCCCCAGATCTGTGCCTCGGCACAATCCTGTCTCTGAACTCTACGGACAGTTTCTTCAACCTCATGGCTTGGTTTTTGCTCTGACATGCACTGTCAACTGTGGGACCTTATATAGACAGGTGTGTGCCTTTCCAAATCATGTCCAATCAATTGAATTTACCACAGGTGGACTCCAATCAAGTTGTAGAAACATCTCAAGGATGATCATTGAAAACAGCTCAATTTCATAGCAAAGGGTCTGAATACTTTTTTATTTCTAGAAACCTGTTTTCGCTTTGTCATTGTGGGGTATTGTGTGTAGATTAATGAGGAAAAAAGTCAAGGAGTCCGAATACTTTCGGAATGCACTGTATGCAGAGGCTGTAAAACAGATTGGTGGAACTACAGGAGTGATGGAGCTTCCATGGCTGCTCCTGTAGTAAGAGGACCAACTGTCGGGGCTGGTGCTTCTGCTGGTCGCGGCATGGTTTCAAGACCTGTTCAGAAATCTTGCGCTCATGAATGTGATGTGTCAAAGGACACTTTGATAGTGAATAAAGTTAACTTGATCACTTTCATTGGTAAAGTTATCAACACGACTCGAGTTGTGGAAAGCAGAAATGCCAGGTTGAAGGCTATTGTGGATATGGCAAAATAGTTATTGGGGGTAACAGATGTTACTGTCGAAATGGTAATTGACATGCTGAATAATCCTAAGGGTGGATTGTTTCAACATGATATAGATCAAGTTTAATGGGGTTGGGGGGCTTGGAAGGGTGTTTTGGGGGAGGGTGTGGTAGAAGTTAGTAGAGATTTATTTGGTTTGAAAATTGTATTTTCTTAGTACAGAGTTAGGCAGCCCATGATTGATCGCACCCTCCAGCACAGTAGGTGCCCGCGTGCACCTTAAATGTTTGTTTGCGGACCGCCATGATATCATAGCAAAAGAAGCTGATGCAGGGGCGACAACGGTAGCTAGCTAGCTAGGAAAACGGTAGACAGTGTTCTTCACCCCCGCCTGTCGGGCACTGCTTTCCTGCAGTTCTGTTAACGATGGCGAGGGCAGGTGTTCGGCAGGAGTTAGCGAAGGACCCTGGGTGCTAGCTAGCTAGCTAGGACTCCGGTACATAGCAGGCGGGAGGCAAGATAGTTAGCTAGCTAGCTAGGACACCGGTAGACAGTGTACTTTGCCCCCGCCTGTCGGGCACTGTTTTCCTGCAGTTCTGTTAAGGGCAGGTGTTCGGCAGGTGGGAGCGAAGGACACTGTGTGCTAGCTAGCAGGCGTTAGCGAAGGACTAGTTAGCTAGACGCAGCCTGACCACGTGAAGGTAATTGGTCGAGTCTGCTGGGTGGGGCATTATACGGTCCTCCATTTATTGTCCAATGGGTTTCCTAGCTCCTCCTTTCACTAATAGTGCTGTTATTAATCACAAACATGACGTTTTTAAAGAGACATTGTACCATTTTCAATGTAATCCATCTCAATGGGAAAATAGTGCCTTTACACAATGTACAAACCAAATATTCCACAAATGATTTTGTAATTTTAATGACAGGTATTCGTATCACCATTTTAGCTTTTATAATAAACTAATGTATTTACTGTGTTACATATTTTTAGGGCACAATATGTGCTTCAAAAGTATCTAGAATTCATATAGGTCACATATAAGCTGTATCTCAATCAATCCCCCAAATATTCTGGTGCTCCTAAACTTCATGTGGTGTTCCTACATTTAAAAACTTGGGCGCACCAGTGCTATCAATTAATTTCTTTAATTTAGAGTCCTGGGCTGGCGGCTGGCTGGTATAGACAAACATGCCTACTCACTCACACATCATCCATTAAAACAGCTGTATGAATCTATCTGTCACACCCTGGTGCTGGGACTCATTATTGTTTATCCAGGGTGTGTGCAGTCTATGTGTTTATGTTCTATGTTGGGTGTCTAGGTTGTTGTTTTCTAGGTTTGTTCAATGACTCCCAATCGGAGGTAACGAGTGTCAGCTGTTCGGCTCGTTATCTCTGATTGGGAGCCATATTTATTTCTGTATGTTTTCCTGTGGGGTTGTGGGTTTTTGTTTCCGTGTTGCTGTTTGTTGTATTCAGCATTGAACTTCACTTTCGTCTATTTTGGTTTATTGTTTTCGATCGTGGTTTCTTTTATAAATAAAGTCTACGATGTTCGCTCAACACGCTGCGCTTTGGTCTCATCCTTTCGACGATCGTGACAGAAAAACCCACCAGAATAGGACCAAGCAGCGCGTCCAGGAGCAAAGGGTCTGGACATGGAAGGAACTGTTGGAAGGTAAAGGGTCATGGACTTGGGAGGAGATCCTGGAGGGTATGGATCGCCGTCCATGGAGCGAGACGGTGGAGAGGCGACGGCGAGAGGAGCAACGGCGTCGGCAGAGCCAACGTCGTAAGGACGAGAGGCAACCCCAAGAAATTTTTTGGGGGGGGCACATGGCTTGGGCGACGGAGCAGCAGGAGGCCGCCACAAGGCAGAGTCAGAGGGCTGCCAGGTTAAGGGGGCTGACGGAGGCAGAGAAGGGAAGGATTCAGTGGGCTACCAGGTCAAGGGGGCTACTGGGTAAAGCAGAGAGGGAAGGTGTTGAGGCACGGCGTGAGGTACTGGGGTGTGTAACCAGTTCGGTCCGGCCCGTTCCTAGTCCCAAGGTGCAGCCAGTAGTGTGTGTTCCCCGTACGGTACAGCCTGTTCCGGTCCCTCGCACTAAGTGTAAGGTGCGCGTCGCCAGCCCGGTTCGGCCTGTTCCTGCCATACGCACCAAGTATGCGGTGCGCGTCGCCAGCTCAGCCCGGCCTGTTCCTACTCCACGCACCAGGGATACGGTGCGCTTCGCCAGCCCAGCCCGGCCTGTTCCTACTCCACGCACCAGGGATACGGTGCGCTTCGCCAGCCCAGCCCGGCCTGTTCCTACTCCACGCACCAGGGATACGGTGCGCTTCACCAGCCCGGCCCGGCCTGTTCCGGCCACTCGCACCAGGGATACGGTGCGCGTCGCCAGCCCCGCCCGGCCTGTTCCTGCTCTCCGCACTAGGCGTGAGGTGAGTCCCCAGGGTCCAGCATGCCCTGTTCCGGCTCCCCGCACTAGGCGTTATGGGAGTCCCCAGGGTCCAGCATGCCCTGTTCCGACTCCCCGCACTAGCCCTGAGATGCGTGTCCTCAGCCCGGTACCTCCTATTCCGGCACCACGCATCAGGCCTACGGTGCGTCCCCAGGGCCAAGCATGCCCTGTTGCTTCTCCCCGCACTAGCCCTGAGATGCGTGTCCTCAGCCCGGTACCTCCTATTCCGGCACCACGCATCAGGCCTACGGTGCGTCCCCAGGGCCAAGCATGCCCTGTTGCTTCTCCCCGCACTAGCCCTGAGATGCGTGTCCTCAGCCCGGTACCTCCTATTCCGGCACCACGCATCAGGCCTACGGTGCGTCCCCAGGGCCAAGCATGCCCTGTTGCTTCTCCCCGCACTAGCCCTGAGATGCGTATCCTCAGCCCGGTACCTCCTGTTCCGGCACCACGCACCAGGCCTACGATGCGCCTCAGACGGCCAGAGTCTGCCGTCTGCCCAACGGGGCCTGAACTGTCCGTCTGCCCAACGCCGTCTGAACTGCCCGTCTGCCCAACGGCGCCTGAACTGCCCGTCTGCCCAACGCCGTCTGAACTGTCCGTCTGCCAAGCGCCGCAGGAGCTGCCCGTCTGCCATGAGCCTGCAAAGCCGCCCGTCTGCCATGAGCCTACAGAGCCGTCCGCCAGACCGGAGCCGCTAGAGCTCTCCGCCAGACAGGAGCAGCCAGAGCCTTCCGCCAGACAGGATCAGCCAGAGCCTTCCGCCAGACAGGATCAGCCAGAGCCTTCCGCCAGACAGGATCAGCCAGAGCCTTCCGCCAGACAGGATCAGCCAGAGCCTTCCGCCAGACAGGATCAGCCAGAGCCTTCCGCCAGACAGGATCAGCCAGATCCTTCTGCCAGACAGGATCCGCCAGAGCCAGCCAGCCAGGATCCGCCATTTAGCCCGGTGCTGCCCCTTAGCCCGGTGCTGCCCCTTAGTCCGGTGCTGCCCCTTAGTCCGGTACTGTCCCTTAGCCCGGTGCTGCCCCTTAGTCCGGTGCTGCCTCTTAGTCCGGTACTGCCCCTTAGTCCGGTGCTGCCCCTTAGTCCGGTGCTGCCTCTTAGTCAGGTGCTGCCCCTTAAACCGGTGGGGGTCATTTGGAGGAGGCTACATAAGCGGGAAGTGACTATGGTGGGGTGGTGGTCTAGGCCGGAGCCAGAACCGCCACCGAGGAGGTATGCCCGCCCAGCCCTCCCCTGTTTGGGGGTTTTGAGGCGCGGTCGCAGTCCGCGCCTTTAGGGGGGGGGTACTGTCACACCCTGGTGCTGGGACTCATTATTGTTTATCCAGGGTGTGTGCAGTCTATGTGTTTATGTTCTATGTTGGGTGTCTAGGTTGTTGTTTTCTAGGTTTGTTCAATGACTCCCAATCGGAGGTAACGAGTGTCAGCTGTTCGGCTCGTTATCTCTGATTGGGAGCCATATTTATTTCTGTATGTTTTCCTGTGGGGTTGTGGGTTTTTGTTTCCGTGTTTGCTGTTTGTTGTATTCAGCATTGAACTTCACTTTCGTCTATTTTGGTTTATTGTTTTCGATCGTGGTTTCTTTTATAAATAAAGTCTACGATGTTCGCTCAACACGCTGCGCTTTGGTCTCATCCTTTCGACGATCGTGACACTATCCAGCAGACCTGGGTTCAACATAGTGTTTGTTTTCTTTCAAAAACTTTAGCTGTGCTTGATTGAGCTTGCCTGGTTGCATTGGAACCAATGAAATAGTCCCAAAAGTGTAAACCCATCCCATCTGATTCTGGCACTCCAGGCAGAGTCAATAAAAGACTCAAAGTATTTGAAAAAAAGAAAGTTTGAATCAAGATATATTGGCTTTGTGTGGAGCCTGATGTGAAACGCAATATCACTACGCCCATTTGAGATGTGAGCATGGACCTTCATGTCCATTTCTCTGACCAATAGGCCATTTGGCAGTGAGATGGAAATGGCGATAAAAACAAATCAATGGGCCACTAATAAAGCAAAGCTGTAAACCGAATTTACATGGGGTTTATGAGAAGAGGAAGAGGAATTTGACAGAGGAATAAAAGTTGTCATTTTGTCTTGGATTTCACAAGCTGTTGAAGTCCCCAAGCAAACACTGCCCCAGGTTTAGAGAGCTGATGGGGGAGATGTTTGGCAGCGAACACTACCGGAGAGTTCTCAAGTCACACAAGGTAAGTCTCAGAAGAGTTGTCAAGGTACCACATCAAATCATAAAGCCTATGATGCTTCATACATCTTAATTGGACCAGTTTCATTGCAGGAGAAAAGTAATCCTGCTGCAGGAGGATTTTATAAATTTATTTTTTAACTGATAATTTCTAACGGGAATTAGTTTCGATAGGCTACAGTAGGCTATAGGCTGTATTTCGGATACACTATGTTGTAGTATAGACCATTATCTAGTTGTGTTATTAGGCTATGTACAACAACAATTGTTGATGTGTATGGCTGCATTTCAACCTGTAGTAGGACATCTATTCTGTCTGGTGATTTGGTGTTTGAGCGAGCAAGAGAGAAAGAGAACCACAGGTTTTCAGTGAATGTATGTCAATCACAAGGCTCATTTGAAAATCCTGCGGCGCAGGAAAATTCTCAGCGATAACAGAGTGATCAAATTAGCAAACTACACATGTAGTAGACGTGACATAACATGTTCAGACCTGTGTCAAATGCATAGCAGTATGTCAAATACTTTCAAATACTGTTTGCGCTCGATTGAGTTTGTCAAAATAGAATAGCCCCAAAGGGGAAAACTCCAAGGTTAATCAAACACACCTCAATCGCTTTCACTAGTTTGTTGACAGCGTGTTGTTTATTATGTTGTTATTGTTAATGTTTCTTTTTGTTGTTCTGTCTAGTCATTTCAAGTCATATCCTGGCATAACTAGGCCTTGAGCAATATGTCACAGCAATGAAACCCTTTTCCTCACAACCCTGTCTCTCCCTATTCATCTTGTCTGGTGAATTCATTTTGACTCACTTGCTACGTGTGTTTGTTATCCAAAGACGGAATTATTGTTTCATTCCAGTAGGTTGTTAGTTGTCACAAAGGCCTTGTTATTATTTTGGTGTAACATCAGGTCCTCAGTGATTTCCTCACTCACTGTTTTCTCCTTCATCTTCCAAAAAGCTGCTCGGCACAATTTCTCTCACATTCTCAGAGCTGTTAATTAATGACAGGATTGAATTATGTTGAGAGTTAAAATGAAATGGCTTTAATTAAACTAAGTCCCATCCTGATTCCTATTAAGGAGATGTCTGGCTTTTGATGGAGGCGTCCTTTGGTACTCTTTACTACCCTCTGGTGAGAACATGGAGTAACTGAAAAATGTTGTCACCCTGGGTGCATCTCAATAGTCAAAAGTGGCTTCCTCTTCTTGTCTCATTTGATGTGATCTGAAAAGCAGGTGAAAGGTTAATAGGCATAATATGTAGAAATTGCTCCCCGTTACCTGGTTGCTAAAATGCTATCATGTTTGCCTAATTTCAGTTTATGTGACAAAACAAGTGTAGAGAATCATTGACAATCTAAACTGCTGTGAAATATATTTTCTATAATAAAAAATATTGAATTTTGAGCTGTTTTAAGCTGGTGTACAAAACCAAAATTAAAAAGATGCAAAACCTAAACTTAAAGATGCGTTATAAAGGTTTTGTATAATTTCAGTCAGTAGTTGAAAAGTAGCGCTCAATTCGTACAATATGTTAAGAAATTGTAAGTCCATAAGATCCCGTTCAGTCTCTTTAAGGATGGGAAGCATAGAAATAGCTCACATAGAATGGATATGCCGCTTATCAGACATGCTTTCAATGAGAATGACAGATCTACAACTCACATTTCTATCTGAATTTGGTTGGGTCGCCCACAAAGCAACATACTGGACCTTGAATGATGACCTATCACTACACACTGACAGTAATCAAGACTTGTCATGTATTTTGCATCAGTGTAAATGAAGGGAAGGACACAAAGACAGGATGTCACTTTAGACTATTGAGAACCTTCCACTTAGTAATTTTCTCTCAACTTAGCACTGGGTATAAAAAAAACCTTTGTACAGTGCACTTATTTGACAAAACGAATAGTTTTAATAATCAACTGTTTATGGAAGCAAAAAAAGAATGTGACATAGAATATGTGACCGAGTGATTGCTTTTAGGAATCTATCAGGCACAATAATCAAATTGACTGACTGGAAAATATTCGTATAAGATGAACATCTTCCCACAGCGATTTATACAGGAGCTCTCCAACCACACTGGGTACCCTGTGTCTAGGCTGCTGGGCAGAAATTCTATCTGGAAGGTCTACGACACTCTCTCCTGTCAGGTACTGGACTACTGTATGTAGCTCGCTGTATACACACTCAGACTCTGAAATAAACACTATGCCACATGTAGGGTTTCCCCTGTGGGGGTAGTTGCATGTCCCCTTCGAAGGGCAAGGAGCAAGGTGACCAGAGAATACATAGTCTACGTCCCAAATGGCACCCCATACCCTTTATAGTCCACTTACTTTGTGAAGGGCCCATAGGGATCTGGTCAAAAGTAGTTCACTATAGGGAATAGGGTGCCATTTGGGACGCATGCATAGACTTGCTTGAAACCCATTCAACTCACGTTTCCTGCATGTTGTCCGTGCCACTATGTAACTTCCAGTCATTGCACTAATACTAGTTAGCATTGGCTCGCGAAACTACCTCTAACTTCCTTCATACTGCAAAGAGACATAAAAATGGCATCCACGAGTTCATCTGACTCTGCATCCTGCCTGACTCATTGTACAGGCAGGACACCTACCCTCCATTCCCCTGCCTAGCTCTCTTGCAAGTTGCCCTGTGTCAAATAGTTTGGCTTCTATTGGTTTCAATTGACAACTTTGATGCCAGAAAGCCTGGATGTTGCTCTTTGGGTCTTTGTGCCCCGCCTGGGAACAAACAATCTAGTGGAAACACTGCCATGTGATCATCTCGGCAGTTGGGCTTGATAAATAACTCAATAGCACATTGAAATGAGAAATATTCATAATTATATAAGAGACTTGGCCATATTTACAGTAATACGCATTCGCACCGGTGCAAAGTGTACATCCAACATCTGTTATTTTCAGAGATGGGTATAAATAGAAAGACTTATACAGACCATGAAATTCAGGGTGCATCCAAAATGGGACCCTATTCCCTATATAGTATACTACTTTTGACAAGAGTCCTATGCGCCCTGGTCAAAAGTAGTGCACTATAAAGGGAATAGGGTACCATTTGGGATGTATCCAAAAATAATTACACGGGTATAGGCTTGGTTGTGACTCATGTGTTGTGGAAGATTGCGCTTCAAACAGAACGATGCTAACGGTTGTCATTGTACCCCTGTTAGAGGAATCACAACCTGACCACCCCTGGCTGGGCCACACAGGAAGTACTCAACACTCTACAGGAAATATCCTCCTTTGAGGTCGTGTTCAGCGTCGTCACTCACAAGAGAAAGGAAAAGGCCAGGCTCTCAGGAGGTGAGAGGTTAGAGTTTAGAAGGTGTCAGAGGTGCTGTGGGTTGTAAAAGAGTTGAAGTAACGTTGAGTTAATGTTGTGACTGTGGGCTGAGAGGTTGCTCATGCTGAGTGGATGAATATGCTGGGGATTGTGAGTTGGTCTCAATGTTATGTTAATGAGTTGAATTATGCAAACAGTTTGTTTGTGTGGATGTCACTGTGATTGTTTTTATAATGTTGATCGTTTGTTTATTGTTTAGGGGTTCTGTTGAATGCCATCCTGAGGAATTTCTCCAATGCAATGGAGCAAGGGAGCACACTCAAGTTCATCATGTATTCAGCAGTTAGTGAACACCGCTGGCACACACATACACACATATCCACATGCACAAATGTACACTCACACTTCATATTATGCAATCTGACATCTAGCATGTCTCCGTATTCATATTTACACATTCACAAGCACATCCACGCATGACCAAACACAATGTTAATGCTATGTGATAATGCAATTTATACGACACAATTAATTCTATGTGTCCTGATGTGTACATCTCTCTCTCAAGCATGACTCCACCCTCATCACTCTCCAGGCTGCCCTAGATGTGTACAACAGTCTTCTTCCTCCTTATGCTGCTTGTCAGCTCTTTGAGTTCTACCAAGAGGATGATGGGTAATGTAGTTTTAGTTGTGATACCTCTAGAAATAATAATATGTACAAGGCTAATGTTTTAGCACGATAAAGTGTAGAAATGATTTGGTTTAAAGCTGCCATATGTAACTTTTTGGGTGACCCGAAGAAATTCACATAGTAATTCACATTGAAAGCAAGTCTAAGAAGCGGTAGATCTGTTCTATGTGCGCTATTTCTATGCTTCCCGTGCTTAAGTTTCATATTTGCATCTTTTATTTTCGGTTTTGTATACCAGCTTCAAACAGCTGAAAAAACAAAATTTTTGGTTATTGAAAAGAGATTGCACAGTGGTTTAGAAGGTACAATGATTCTTTGCACTGCTCGTCTTGTCACATAAACATTTGGCAAACTATTAGAAATTTTAGCAACCTGGAAATGTCTGAGTGATTTCTGCATATTGCACCTTTAAATGACAACGAAATGGTATGCGAGATGTGAAATTAGTATTAAAGTGTTACAGAAATCTGCATAACACATGACTGTAGGCTATCTCTTTACATAGTCTGTGTTAACTATTCCAGGTCCTATTCTCTTGACTTGTATTACCGTAATGACTCATCTCGTGACCCCTACCCGACCCCTGTGCCTGGCTGTGAGACAACTCCGTGCCCTCTGACCTCATTTACTGACCTGGTTAAAGATGTCATCTCAACGGACTGGGACGCCGAGTGTGGGCTCAAAACATCATGGCCCGACACAGGTAAGAAAGGTAGTCCATATCTTCCTAATGGTTCAAAGGTTTTGCTTTATTACTTTGGCTTATAGGAGCTCATTGTTCTGTCATTCTATACCAGAATAACCATAAATATTGCCACAGATACTGTAAGTAAAAGTTAACATAATGTTTACTCGGAAACTGTCACTACTCATTGAAACAGGACTCTAAGACTGAAATCTTTAAAATCTGATTACTTATCTTCATTGACTTTTGCAAGGTGTCATTGCGGTGCTTGCAGTGACAGTAGCTATCCTGACGGTGGCGATGTTGGCCAGCATAGCAGTGTTTATTCACCAAAGGAGAAACCTGTACTCCAGGGAGGGGTAGTAGGGCTCTCCAGACTTGACTAAGTCTTCCTAAAACATCATGGAGGCATTGGGAGAGGACAGGGCAATACATCAATACTTATAGACCTACTATCTTTGAGATTAAAATGTAAATAATCCATACAATGACCTTGTGATTTTTGTTCTCTTGTGATCTATTGTACTGTTTTGAATTGTATTGTATTGAGTTCTATTCTATTTTGTTCTATTTAGCAGAATGTCAAGTCATCTCAGGTCTTTGTTGAGTGATTTGGAGACAGTGAGGGCTTTTATAATATTTTGAAAATGATTGAATTACTAGTTACAGTGCTTTCAGAAAGTATTCATACCCCTTGACTTTTTCCACATTTTGTTGTGTTACAGCCTGAATTTAAAATGTATTAAATTGAGATTTTCTTGTCACTGGCCTACACACATAGTACCCCATAATGTCAACGTGAAATTATGTTTTTCTTTTTTTTTAAACAAATTTATAAAAAATGAAAAGCTGAAAAGACTTGAGTCATTAAGTATTCAACCCCTTTGTTATGGCAAGCCTAAATACGTTCAGGAGTAAAATTGTGCTTAACAAGTCACATAATAAGTTGCATGGACTCACTCTGTGTGCAATAATAGTGTTTAACATGATTTTGAATGACTACCTCATCTCTGTACCCCACACATACAATTCTCGGTAAGGTCCCTCAGTCGAGCAGTGAATTTCAAACACAGATTTAACCACAAAGAACAGGGAGGTTTTCCAATGCCTCACAAAGAAGGACACCTATTGGTAGATGGGTAAACATAAAAAAGCAGACATTGAATACAGTGGGGAAAAAAAGTATTTAGTCAGCCACCAATTGTGCAAGTTCTCCCACTTAAAAAGATGAGAGAGGCCTGTCATTTTCATCATAGGTACACGTCAACTATGACAGACAAATTGAGATTTTTTTTACAGAAAATCACATTGTAGGATTTTTAATGAATTTATTTGCAAATTATGGTGGAAAATAAGTATTTGGTCAATAACAAAAGTTTCTCAATACTTTGTTATATACCCTTTGTTGGCAATGACACAGGTCAAACATTTTCTGTAAGTCTTCACAAGGTTTTCACACACTGTTGCTGGTATTTTGGCCCATTCCTCCATGCAGATCTCCTCTAGAGCAGTGATGTTTTGGGGCTGTCGCTGGGCAACACAGACTTTCAACTCCCTCCAAAGATTTTCTATGGGGTTGAGATCTGGAGACTGGCTAGGCCACTCCAGGACCTTGAAATGCTTCTTACGAAGCCACTCCTTCGTTGCCCGGGCGGTGTGTTTGGGATCATTGTCATGCTGAAAGACCCAGCCACGTTTCATCTTCAATGCCCTTGCTGGTGGAAGGAGGTTTTCACTCAAAATCTCACGTTACATGGCCCCATTCATTCTTTCCTTTACACGGATCAGTCGTCCTGGTCCCTTTGCAGAAAAACAGCCCCGAAGCATGATGTTTTCACCCCCATGCTTCACAGTAGGTATGGTGTTCTTTGGATGCAACTCAGCATTCTTTGTCCTCCAAACACGACGAGTTGAGTTTTTACCAAAAAGTTCTATTTTGGTTTCATCTGACCATATGACATTTTCCCAATCCTCTTCTGGATGCACTATAGCAAACTTCAGACGGGCCTGGACATGTACTGGCTTAAGCAGGGGGACACGTCTAGCACTGCAGGATTTGAGTCCCTGGCGGCGTAGTGTGTTACTGATGGTAGGCTTTGTTACTTTGGTCCCAGCTCTCTGCAGGTCATTCACTAGGTCCCCCCGTGTGGTTCTGGGATTTCTGCTCACCGTTCTTGTGATCATTTTGACCCCACGGGGTGAGATCTTGCATGGAGCCCCAGATCGAGGGAGATTATCAGTGGTCTTGTATGTCTTCCATTTCCTAATAATTGCTCCCACAATTGATTTCTTCAAACCAAGCTGCTTACCTATTGCAGATGCAGTCTTCCCAGCCTGGTGCAGGTCTACAATTTTGTTTCTGGTGTCCTTTGACAGCTCTTTGGTCTTGGCCATAGTGGAGTTTGGAGTGTGACTGTTTGAGGTTGTGGACAGGTGTCTTTTATACTGATAACAAGTTCAAACAGGTGCCATTAATACAGGTAACGAGTGGAGGACAGAGGAGCCTCTTAAAGAAGAAGTTACAGGTCTGTGAGAGCCAGAAATCTTGCTTCTTTGTAGGTGACCAAATACTTATTTTCCACCATAATTTGCAAATAAATTCATTAAAAATCCTACAATGTGATTTTCTGTAAAAAAAATCTCAATTTGTCTGTCATAGTTGACGTGTACCTATGATGAAAATGACAGGCCTCTCTCATCTTTTTAAGTGGGAGAACTTGCACAATTGGTGGCTGACTAAATACTTTTTTTCCCCACTGTATATCCCCTTGAGCATGTTGAAGTTATTAATTATGCTTTGGATGGTGTATCCCCAGTCACTACAAAGATACAGGCGTCCTTCTTAACTCAGTTGCCAGAGAGGAAAGAAACCGCTCAAGAATTTCACCAATGGTGACTTTAAAACAGTTTCAGAGTTTAATGGCTGTGATACAAGAAAACCGAGGATGGATCAACCACATTGTAGTAACTCTACAATACTAACCTAATTGAGGAGTGAAAAGAAGGAAGCCTGTACAGAATAAAAGTATTCCAACACATGCATCCTGTTTGAAACAAGGCACTAAAGTAACACTGCAAAAAATGTGGCAAAGCAATTAACTTTTTGTCCTGATACAAAGTGTTATGTTTGGGGCAAATCCAATACAACACATTACTGAGTACAATTCTCCATATTTTCAAGCATAGTGGTGGCTGCATCATGCTATGGGTATGCTTGTAATCGTTAAGGACTGGGGAGTTTTTCAGGATAAAAAAGAAACGGAATGGAGCTAAGCACACGCAAAATCCTAGAGGAAAACCTGGTTCAGACTGCTTTCCACCAGACACTGGGAGATGAATTTACCTTTCAGCTGGACAATAACCTAAAACACAAGGCCACATCTACAGTGGAGTTGCTTATCAAGGAAACAGTTAATGTTCCTGAGTGGCCGAGTTACAGTTTTGACTTAAATCTACATGAAAATCTATGGCAAGACCTGAAAATGGTTGTCTAGCAATGATCTTCAACCAATTTGACAGCGCTTGAAGAATTTTGAAAAGAATAATGGGCAAATGTTGCACAATCCAGGTGTGGAAAGCTCTTAGAGACTTGCCCAAAGGTGCTTCTACAAAGTATTGACTCAGGGGTGTGAATACTTATGTAAATTAGATATTTCTGTATTTCATTTTCAATAAATATGCAAACACTCATTCCAAAAACATGTTTTCACGTTGTCACCATGGGGTATTGTGTGTAGATGGGTGAGAAAAAACATATATTTAATCAATTTTGAATTCAGGCTTTAACACAACAAAATGCGGAATTAATCAAGGGGTATGAATACTTTCTGAAGGCACTCTTTGTTATTTCTACTTACTCTTGTAACAACCTACTTAAACAAGCGTGCTGAATATTCTGATTCTATGTATTTTATATGTACTATTCTGATTCCACAAAAATTGAAAATATGATCAAGAGGAAATAAAGACAATAGCCAAAACTTCAAGTTTGTTTTATTTCAATGCATTTTTCAAGACCTACTGAAACATTGTGAATGTATTGCATTATTAGCTTTTCTGCATCTCATTTCTCATCTCCCTCCTCCTTGTCCTTGAGAGCTATGGAAAGAGGAGAAAATGACAGCGGTTGCAAAGGAACATTCAGGTGCTGTTCATACTGCATGGTCAATATACGTGAGATAATGTACACCATAGAACCTCATTAAAAACGAATACATTTAATAAATCCATCAACCATATAAAAAGTAGTATTTTGAACCCATGGTGTTGTTTCCATTACAATGACTATCATTCCACGATTGTGGAAAGATATTGACTATTGTTCCCTTGGGTTGCTACAAAGCAATCTTTCTCCTCTCCCTGTTTCGTTCTCCCCATCCTTTCCTCTATACCCCTCCTCTCGATCCCTCCCTCTCTCCATACCTCATATCGCCATCTTTTTTTCTCCCTCAATCCTTTTCCCCATCCCTGCACTCCACCCCCATTCTCCCTCCACCTCCCTTCCCCTCCGTCCCTCTCCATCCATACCTCGTACGAGCAGGGTGCACTCCACGACGTCCTCCCCCAGAGGGTTGATGGCCTTGCAGGTGAACTTGCCCCCGTCATACTGACTGGGCTTGCGGATGTTCAGGGTCAAAACCCCCTGGTTGTTCTGCATCAGGAAGCTAGGGTTCTCGTCCAGGGGAATCTTGTTCCTCAACCACCTGATCTTAGGCTAAGTCGGAGCCAAAGAGAGACTTGTGTCAGCGGCTTCATGACACGTATGTGACCTTAATGGCCTTCAATGTAATAAAAATCAGGGATTAAACAAAAATATGGTAACACTTTATAAACACTTTCATGAATAAGCCATTTGAAATGCTTGTAAATGTTTAGAAATGAGTAGGTATATACAGTGCATTCGGAAATTATTCAGACCACTTCCCTTTTTCCACATTTTGTTACGTTACAACCTTACTCTAAAATGGATTAAAATATTTTTGTTCTCATCAATCTACACACAATACCCCATAATGACAAAGCGAAAACAGGTTTTTAGATTTTTTTTGCTAATTTCTTACAAAATAAAAATCAGAAATACCTTAGAGCTCAGAGACAGGATTGTGTCCAGGTACCCAACATTTTTTGCAGCATTGAAGGTCTCCAAGAACACAGTGGCTTCCATCATTCGTAAATGGAAGAAGTTTGGAACCACCAAGACACTTCCTAGAGTTGGCCGCCTGGCCAAACTGAGCAATCGGGGGAGAAGGGCCTTGGTCAGGGAGGTGACCAAGAACCCAATAGTCACTCTGACAGAGCTACAGAGTTCCTCTGTGGAGATGGGAGAACATTTCCAGAAGGACAACCATCTCTGCTGCACTCCACCAATCAGGCCTTTATGGTAGAGTGGCCAGACGGAAGCCACTCCTCAGTAAAAGGCACATGACAGCCCTCTTAGAGTTTGCCAAAAGGCACCTAAAGGACTCTCAGACCATGAGAAACAAGATTATCGGGTCTGATGAAACCAAGATTGAACTCTTTGGCCTGAATGCCAAGCGTCACGTCTGGAAGAAACCTGGCACCATCCCTACGGTGAAGCATGGTGGTGGCAGCATCATGCTGTGGGGATGTTTTTCAGCGGCAGGGACTGGGAGACTAGTCAGGATCGAGGGAAAGATGAACGGAGCAAAGTACAGAGAGATCCTTGATGAAAACCTGCTCCAGAGCGCTCAGGGCCTCAGACTGGGGCGAAGGTTCACCTTCCAACAGGACAACGACCCTAAGCACCCAGCCAAGACAACGCAGGAGTGGCTTCGGGACAAGTCTCTGAATATACTTGAGAACCCGATCTAACATCTCTGGAGAGACCTGAAAATAGCTGTGCAGTGACGCTCCCCATCCAACCTGACAGAGCTTGTAGCGTCATGCCGAAGAAGACTCGAGGCTGTAATTGCTGCCAAAGGTTCTTCAACAAAGTAATGAGTAAAGGGTCTGAATACTTATGTAAATGTGATACTTCAGTGTTTATTTTTAATAAATGTATAAAAAAATCTAAAAACCTGTTTTTGCTTTGTCATTATGGGGTATTGTGTATAGATTGATGAGAATAAAAAAATCAATTTAATCAATTTTAGAATAAGGCTGTAACCTAACAAAATGTGGAAAAAGACAAGGGGTCAGAATCCTTTCCGAATGCACTGTAAATCCCTTTATGAATATTCATAAATGTACATGTATGAGTTTACCATACAGTATATGAAATTATATTTCTGGTTGGGAAACATTGTTTTTTATTGAATTCACTCTAATGTGCATTCACGACGATGAAAGAATACTGAAAACATTGACACATCCTTTCAGGTCAGTGGCCATGAAGATGATGACAAGGTAATTGGAGACATTTAGGACAGAGACACAATTTTCCCCCCTGCATCTACAGTTAGAGTATTCGGACTGTTTGTCCCAAAATACATACCTTGGGGCAGCCCCTGACAGCACAGCTGATGGCGGTACTGTAGCCTGCCACCACAGACCTGTCAAGCAGGGGCTGTATGAACTTGGGGGCGCTTTGCATGTCCTTCTCCTTAAATGGAGGTGGGTTGTATTCCAATCCTGAAGGAAAGGAAAGGGAGGTTATTATACTGTGAATTAATACGGAGTGGTAATGAATTCATACTGTAAAGGATGTCTCTGAAACACATTATGTTGTGAAAATACTGTAGGCCTTGTTGATATAATGTATGTAAGTATGTACAGCACACACACACACACACCTATCTTAGGTATGATGGCTGTGTCCTTGCTGAGGCAGAAATCCTCACTCTTTCCAACGAGGTTCTCGCTGAAGACGCGGAACATGTACTCGTTTCCCATGATCAGGTCTGAGGCTGTGCAGTTTGTCCTCCTGTTGTGCTCATAGATAGTGAACCATTCCTAGAGAGAGGGAAAGAGAGAGAAAGATAGAGAGAGAGGGGGGTGGGGAGAGATAGAGATGAGAAAAGAGGTGGTGGGGGTGGAGATCGAAAGAGAAGATCTGAGGAGAGGGGGTTTTGGGTGGTTGCTCCCTCTCGCCATTTCTCGCTTCGCTCTCTCTGCAGCGCGTGCGCTGGTTTTTGTCTTGATCTGGTGTTTCAAGTTACTTTAAGAATTCCACAGTGTCATTACTAAAGAATTTGATTTGGTTCTAGTTGCTTTTTTTCCATTCCCCGTGCCACATCCTATACAGTAGCCCATAGCTTTGCTTTGCATACTGGGGGATGGAGTATTTGATCCCTTTGTCCCTACTGTATATGCCCTCCTCTCTCACATTGGTCTTCTTGTCCGCCTTCTGTATTGTGTAACCGGTGATCTCACAGTTGCCGTCGTCCTTCGGTGGCTTCCACTCCAGCGCAGCGTTGAAGCCCCAAACGTCTGTGATCTTCACTACCTCGGGAGGCCCAGGTGTCTCTGATTGGACAAAAATATGTGGTCATTTTGTTACGATTAGGATGAGAAAATGGCACAATATTTACTACAATAGGACAATTACAGTGGCCTAAAGCCAGTATACTGTCTACTTCGTGGATTGGAACCCACGACACAACAATGTAAAAAGCCAAGCCGTTTCTGGTTCTGGGGGCAACAGTAGCTACTTCAGGTCTCAGAAAGGCAGTAGTGATGCTAAATGACTTAGCCATCGGCTTCACTATGATCCTGGGTTGTGTTCATTAGGCATTAAACGGACGGAAAAGGGGAGGAACTGCCCTAATAAACAGGACCCTTATGTCTTCAGTTGTCTTTCATCTCTTACCTACGATCCTGATTTCCAGAGTAGCCCTGGCCTCCATGTTCTCAATCTGCAGGACCAACTCGTACTTCCCAGAGTGGGCTCTCTCAGCCGAGCGGATGAACAGGATAGAGTCCACTTCGGAATTGCGTATGCTGGCAACTCGAACGTCAACCACTTCCCCATCCTTGTACCATTGCACTTTGGGGCGTGGCTTACCCTATTAGACACAAGGTAATACTTTGTTCAGAATAGAAACAAATGAAGGGCAAAACAGTAGCTGTCAATGGCTAACTGCAGTGGTACCTGGTAAACCAACTTCACTAGATAATGGGCACCTGATAAGCTGTTCAAGCTTGTCCCATATAGAGTGATTCTGTAGAAATCACAGCATTCAAGATAGCTTTGGATCATACGCCGTACTACTTTAGCTCAAATCAAAATGGTGAAAATACACAAATCGCGGTGTAATGGGTAACTTTTAACAACAGACCTGGAAGGGGATGGTCATGTTGATTTTGTCGCCCACTCTTCTGATGTACTTCTGTCTCAAGTAGCGAGGGAGGCGAATGTTGGGCAGTTCTGAGAGAGAGAGAGAGAGAGAGAGAGAGAGAGAGAGAGAGAGAGAGAGAGAGAGAGAGAGAGAGAGAGAGAGAGAGAGAGAGAGAGAGAGAGAGAGAGAGGGAGGGAGAGAGAGGTTTTAAGTTGTCTACTCCAGATTGATGTAATGATGAACCACATACAATACAACAGGGTCATGTTCAGAAGGGCACACAGTCCTATTCCTATGGGTGACAGACACACTCACCCACGATCTCGCGGATAGTGACGGGCTGGGCCAGGCCGGTATGGGGGGCTGCGTCCAGCAATGTTCACGGCCACCACTCTGAAGTTGATCTTCTCCCCAGTGGGGAGGTTGCGGACTGTGTAGGTCTGTCTGTCCACCGGCTCATTGTTAGCCACCACCCACTCCGTGTCTAAGACCAAAAGAAAGGGAAACAGACTGAGGTGGAAGTGATAAATGAGGTTTGACCGTGTGGTACGTAAGGTTTGCCCATGATAAATGAGGTTTTACCATGATTAATTAGGTTTTACCATGATAAATTAGGGTTGGCAGTGATAATTGCATCTCAGTGCTTGAGGCGTCACTACAGACGCCCTGGTTCGATTCCAGGCTGTATCACAACCAGCCGTGATTGGGAGTCCCATAGGGCGGCGCACAATTGGCCCAGCGTCGTCCGGATTTGGCCGGTGTACATTTTACATTTACATTTACGTCTTTTAGCAGACGCTCTTATCCAGAGCGACTTACAAATTAGGCCGTCATTGTAAATAAGAATTTGTTCTTAACTGACTTGCCTAGTTAAATAACAATTTTTAAAAAAGAGGTTTGACCATTAATGAGGTTTGACAGCGATGAATGTGGTTTGACAGTGTGATAAATTAGTTTTGACAGTGACAAATTAAGTTTGACAGTGATAAATTAGTTTTGACAGTGACAAATTAAGTTTGACAGTGATAAATTAAGTTTGACAGTGATAAATTAGGTTTGACAGTGATAAATTAGATTTGACAAAAATACATGAAGTTTGACAATGTTAGACTATAGTGTTTGACACAGGGCATAGGAAACTTACCGTTTCTGTAGCTATGTTACCACAACTTTTAATACACAATCAATTACTGTATTTGGCCAACATTAATTTCATGCCATTGTTGAATTGACACAAATCTGTGTTTAGACACAGCTAGGACTAATTCAAATTCCCATTCAAAAGTGATAACAGTCTTATTTTGTCTCACACCCTCACCTCCCTCCTTGCAGTACTCAATAATGTATCCGTCCAGGCCTCCGGCACCGACCTTCTCGGGGGCCAGCCACTTCAGGGTACATGTGGTGTCTGTGACATCATGTACCTTGAGGCCCAGAGGCTCACTGGTTGGAGCTGTGGTTGGAAGAGAAGGAGACAAAAGAGAGAGGGAGAGTATTATTATTATTTTTCAAGGCGAACAGAGATGAGACAGATACAGAAACAGAAAGAGAAAGAAAGAGAGAGAGAAAAAGAGGGTGAAAAAGAAAGGAGACAGAAAAGACTGATAGAAAAAAGACAGAGGCAGTGAGGGAGACAAATACAGAAAGTAGTTAAGTAAACTATGAGATCCGTTTGAGACTCCACCCACCGATGGGCATGAAGGGTTTGGAATTGAGGCTGGGCTGGGACATGCCGATGCCATTGATGGCATACACTCTCATCTCGTAGAGCACGCCCTCAATCATCCTCTTGGCTTCGTACGTCACCCCCTCGTACACGTCAAAGTTGAGCTTCGTCCACCTGGTGGAGCCCTTCTTCTTCCTCTCCATGAGATAGCCTGAACGAGAGAGAGGAAGAGAATGAGTGACCCATCCATCCATCCATCCACCACATTGTTCTGTTACTAAAAGGGGTTACTCATATTTTTAACATTAAAGTATTTCAGTATTTAAAAACCATGCAAAATCTTGACTGTACCTGTGACTGGTGCGCCTCCGTCGAACTTGGGTGGATCCCAGACCATGGTGGCACAGTCCTCTCCCACTGAGGTACACTTGACATTCTCAGGGCAGTCAGGCACATCAACAATCTTCACCAACAGATGAGCCTTGTCCTCTCCGGCAGGGTTAGTGACAGTGATGCAGTAGTTGCCCTCATCCTCTCTCTCTGCCCCCTCTATGACGAAGCAGCTCAGGTCCTTCCTGGCCTCCGTCCTCACACGCCCCTCCGTAGCTGTGATTGGCTAAGAGACAGGAAATCAAAACACGCCCATGAGCAACAGTATATTGTTAGCCTAAAAATAAGGTTTGTTTGGTTTCATTAATATATAAATTGATTAATGTTATATCATATCTGTATATAAACCATACCGGAAACACTCAAGCCAGAACTTGAGTTAAAGAATTAGCAACTAACTTCCATACAGACTCTTTATGTGAATTACTATAAGAAGTGCCTACCTTGTCTCCCTTTGCCCAGACGACAGTGGGTGCAGGCTCTCCAGAGATCTCCACGTCCAGGCGTAGCTTGTTGCCGGCCACCACGATGATGGTGTTCTGGGAAACCATGTTGCCGGTGGTGTCCAGGTGGATCTTGGGTGGGTCTTTATACACAAGGCAAATAACGGCGTGAATGTAAATGGAAATGTTAAGACAACGTTAAAGGTAATGTAAATATGAATGTTAGATTATTATCTATAGTATTTTGATTATTAATTTACACACACACATATATATATATATATATATATATATATATATATATATATATATATATATATATATATATATATATATATATACAGTGCATTCGGAAAGTACTTTTTATTAAAAAATTAAAAAAAATAAACATGTATTTACATAAGTATTCAGACCCTTTGCTATGAGACTCGAAATTGAGCTCAGGTGCATCCTGTTTCCATTGATCATCCTTGAGATGTTTCTACAACTTAATTGGAATCCACCTGTGGCTTCAATTGATTGGACATTCAATTGATTGGACATGATTTGGAAAGGCACACACCTGTATATATAAGGTCCCACAGTTGACAGTGCATGTCAGAGCAAAAAACAAGCCATGAGGTCGAAGGAATTGTCCGTAGAGCTCCGAGACAGGATTGTGTCGAGGCACAGATCTGGGGAAGGGTACTAAAACATTTCTGCAGCTTTGAAGATCCCCAAGAACACAGTGGCCTCCATCATTCTTAAATGGAACAAGTTTGGAACAACCAAGATTCTTCCTAGAGCTGACCAAACTGAGCAATCGAGGGAGAAGGGCCTTGGTCAGGGAGGTGACCAAGAACCCAATGGTCACTCTGACAGAGCGCCAGAGTTCCCCTGTGGAGATGGGAGAACCTTCCAGAAGGACAACCATCTCTGCAGCACTACACCAATCAGGCCTTTATGGTAGAGTGGCCAGATGGAAGCCACTCCTCAGTAAAAGGCACATGACAACCTGCTTGGAATTTGCCAAAAGACACCTAAAGACTCTCAGACCAAGAGAAACAAGATTCTCTTGTCTGATGAAACCAAGATTGAACTCTTTGGCCTGAATGCCAAGTGTCACGTCTGGAGGAAATCTGGCACCATCCCTACGGTGCAGCATGGTGGTGTCAGCATCATGCTGTGGGTATGTTTTTCAGCGGCAGGGACTGGGAAACTAGTCAGGATCGAGGGAAAGATCAACGGAGCAAAGTACAGAGAGATCCTTGATAAAAACCTGCTCCAGAGCGCTCAGGACCTCAGACTGGGGCGAAGGTTCACCTTCCAACAGGACAACGACCATAAGCACACAGCCAAGACAATGAAGGAGTGGCTTTGGGACAAGTCTCTGAATGAGCTTGAGTGGTCCGGCCAGAGCCCGGACTTGAACCCGATCGAACATCTCTGGAGAGACCTAAAAATAGCTGTGCAGCGACGCTCCCCATCCAACCTGACAGAGCTTGAGAGGATCTGCAGAGAAGAATTGGAGAAACTCCCCAAATACAGGTGTGCCAAGCTTGTAGCGTCATACCCAAGAAGACTCGAGGCTGTAATCGCTGCCAAAGGTGCTTCAACAAAGTACTGAGTAAAGGGTCTGAATACTTATGTAAATGTGATATTTCAGTTTTGTATTTTTTATAAATTTGCAAACATTTCTAAAAGCCTGTTTTTGCTTTGTCATTATGGGGTATTTTGTGTAGATTGATGAAGGAAAAAAACTATTAAATCAATTTTAGAATAAGGCTGTAACGCAACAAAATATGGAAAAAGTCAAGGGGTCTGAATACTTTCCGAATACAATGTACATTGATATATTACATATATTGATGTGAATCAATACTTATGACATTTATGTTTATAGTAATAATTTAGAAAACCTACCTTGGCGGGGGACATAGTCGATCTTAATTTCTGTTGAAAGGCAGACAAAATGGTTTTATTCATATGTGACTTGTACTGATGTTAAGGGACTTTATTTCCATTTAAACAGTATGTATAGGCATGATGTAATTTTCTGCAAAGTCTGAATTTGTCATTTTCCAAAAATTCTCATTTTCTATTTTTTTCTCTCTCTTTCTCTCACCCAGGAAGTTGAGTTTGGCGGACAGTGAGAGGGCATATCCATCTGGGACAAACGTGTAGTCTCCAGCGTCCTCGGGCTTGACTTCGTCTATGGTAAGCCGATGGATTCTAAAACACATTAAGGATGAGGAAGTTGAGATACTTGTTCAATACAAAATTACAGTCACAGCTCCTCGTAATTGTAGAATACAATACATACTGAAAATAAAACCAACAGTCCATGTGGTTATATATGACCATAACACATTACGTAGGTAAAACATAAACATAAGTTGATACAAAAACATAATTACAATCTAAAGTGCAGTCACTTGACACGTAACCTGTCCCCACGTCTCTCCCGTCCCGTACCTTCCGATGTGGGTCAGCTTGATGCGATCGCTGGGTAGCACCTCCACGCCATCTTTGAACCATTTCCCTGTCACCTTCTCATCAGACACCTCACACTTGAACATGGCCTGGTCCTCGGCCTTCACCGTCAGGTCAGCAATGCTCTGCAACACCTCCAGTTCCTTCTCTGAGGGGGCAACAGGGAGAGGGCAGAGTGAGAGAGAGGAAAGCGAGAGGAATGAAGAGAATGTGGAATGAGAGAGACAGGGAGAGAGGGAGAGGGAAAAGTGAGAGGATACCCAAACTAGCATACCTACAAGTGTTTGCCCATAACATTACCAAAAAATCCACCGCAGATATAGGACTGAATTTGAATCACCATGAAGACTGAAAAATATTTGTCTAATCTTTTCCCTAAAACAAAGATTGGTACCTTCAACCTCCAGCTCTCCTTTGGTTCGCCCGCCGTTGGTGAAGCACCAGTACATTCCAATGTCTTCCAGTGTAGCCTCTTGGATGATGAGCATGTGCTTCAACCCGTCCTTCTTAAAGCGGTACTTATGGGAGTCCCTGGTGAGTTCTTGGTCCTCAAACATCCTGAGGAGTGAGAGTAGGTGACATAGAAACACCTTAGTGAATTGTTAAGACACTAGGAATATAAAATGGTTCAGGCCTACCAAACTGAACTTACTTTTACTTTTTTTTAACTTTGAGGTTAGTACTATAAAGTATACATTTGTACTACACAATTTATTAGTTAACACCATGTAAATACCATAAAGGTACCAGATTAAACAAGACTGTAAAATAAAGCATTACTGAAAGGTTTACTGACCAGTTAACGTGTGCTCCCTCCACAGACACCTCCACCTCAAACTCCACCCTTTCTCCCACCACCACGTGGTAATCATCCAGCAGCTTGGTGATGGTGACCGGGGGCTCTGGAGAGGACAACAGCAAAAAGACACCATTTTCATGTTCCTTAACTGGGACATTATTGTAAGTGCAGTGTAGAAAGCATTGTGTTTATTTCTTGTTACATTGGCTACACGGTGGCCCTAAGGGGCAAAGTCGTTTTGAAAATTGAGTGACAGTGAGCGTACACAACTTACACTTGACTTAAAAGGTAAGGATAACCTTCCAACCAGCTACTTGAAATGTTATTTAAATGTTTTGTACATTATTCAAAATATTTTTGTTTTATGGTATTATTGTCATTATAAGGATACTGGATGATTCTGATAGTCAAAGTTTCATTGCAAAAAAGATTACTATGTAAATGGGGGTCCCCTCGTTAAATAAAGGATACATGGGTAACACTTTCCAATAAGGTACCCTTTATGATACATGACATCAACAAATGACAACTCCACACAGCTGTCACCATTGAAAAACTATTTTTGGTTCCAGGTAGAACCCTTTTGGGTTCCATGTAGAACCCTCTGTGGAAAGGGTTTTACATGGAACCCAAAAGGGTTCTACCATGAACCAAAAGGGTTCAACCTGGAACCAAAAAAGGTTATTCAAAGGGTTCTCATATGGGACCAGCTGAAGAACCCTTTTAGGTTCTAGATAGTACCTTTTTTTCTAAGAGTGTAGAAAAGTGAGAAGAAGGCATACCTTTGACAAACACCTCTGTGAAGGACTTCTCGTCCCCAACCACACACTCGTATGCAGCGTCGTCAGCAAGGCTACACTTGTTGATGGTGAGCGTCCGGATGTTACCAATTGCTTCTATGATGTACCTGGTGCACAGATAGACGGATAAATGGACAAATGGACAGACAGACAGACAGCAGCATAAATGAATGTTACAATGTCGTTTAACATTCTCCAAAAGCCAGTTTACAAGACATGTATAAGCAACATGTAAACTTGAATAAAAGGGCAATCTACAGTTTTATGAAAGTGATTGACCTGTCATTCGTTTAGAATAACTAATGCATGGGTTATTTTAGTCTTCTAAAGTGTTGCTCATTTTTCTTGTACCACAGTAAATCTCATAGTTTATACTGGGGATAGACAAAGAAGAAAAACTTAAAAAATAAAGAATATTAGAGTATTAAGTTAAGAGTTAGCTAAGAGTACCAAGTAATCGGATGTGAAGTACAGTAAAGGTAACCAAACTGTCACGAGGCAATAAGTAAACAACTATGACCATTAAATTAAGCCTTGTCCATGATAATGATTCAGACCTGGCTTTGTGCATGAGCAGGGATTTTTCTGCATAGAAAATGCTTCGGCGGGCAGCCTAAGTGTTTTTTCTGGCTGCTTAAGTCCAAACAGTTTTTAGTGTAAACTTAAACGACTAAAACCAGATACAAAGTATGAAGAAAATATAATTGACCTATACATTTTTTTTGAATATAATCTTTGAGAACTAACAATCACCAAAATAAAATAAAAAAATAATTAAAATGAATTGAGCAGTATTGATATTGTTATTATGTTTGAGCAAAAGAACACAGCATTAGCCATGGCAAAATGAATAGCATTTTCAGGAAATTTGCTTTAAAACTGCAGCTCCATGGAGAAATGTGTAGAATTGCCGGAGATTGCCTTAAAATTGCTAAGATTTCTCTACACCGCTAAAACTGTAACAAAAATTCAGCCCACCACCTAAGCCCCTTTTTGATAAACAAAAAACAAAAAACCTGCATGAGGAGTTTATGTGCAGGGAATGATATGACTTGTCAACGTGACTTGTTGGTCACTGAGAAGCTGATAATGGTTTCCTATAAATAAAATGTGTTGATGGCAGCGCCATTTAGAATGATGGAGTTGTGTAGAGATAATTTTAGAGAGCTATTTTCCAGCGCTGCCAGTCAAGTCTAGGAGACGCGGAGACCACCATCTTAGCTTGCGGTAAATCAGATAGGGCCTACTGTCTAATTAATCACATATCTTGCATTGCACTGTACGCCGCCACTGAGAGACAGGACTCTGCTCTACCAAAGCATTCCAGAGAGAAGACAAAAATAGATAGGCCTACATTGCCTTTTGAAGGAGATTGTTCAACGGAAGGCTTACATGATGCAAAACGTCTCTTGAAAAAAAAGAAAACCTTGATCTTGTTGTCTGACTATTCCATGATGAGCTAGTGAGTTTGCTTTTGGTGTTTTGGGTTAAGTCACGTTAACTAATCACTAGGAAACAGTCATATAGCCTATAGCTTCCTCACGTAAATAGACTTTTATGAATCTACTTTGTAAGTCATTAGTTTCCATCTCCATGAATAAGCATTCCACTTCTGTCGCTCCCCCTTGCTAGTATTACGTCAGTAAGTTATGGCCATATCCTAACAGGAGATGCATGTGACTCGCTTATTTACATCAGTAATTTATGCGAAGGTTCTAGCTACGCCCTCATTTCTCAAGTTGGGGTTCGGCCCTCAGTCATGATAAACTCTAACCATAATGGCCCTCACTGAGCCTCAGTCTCCCAGTAATCTCTGCTAGGATGTGTGTGTGCGATAGTGTGTGTGTGTGTGTGTGTGTGGACATGTTTAACTATACCTTTTCAATAATAGTAAACCAAGAGAAATTTGACCAACTGGGGACATTTTGTTGGTCCCCACAAGGTCAAATGCTATTTCTAGGGGGTTTAGGGTTATGGTTAGAATTAGTGTTATGGTTAGAAATAGGTTTAGGGTTAGGGTTAGGTTTAGGAAATAGGGTTAGTTTTAGGGTTAGGGTTAGGAGCTAAGGTTAGGTTTAGGGTTAGGGTTAAGGTTAGGTTTTTGGGTTAAGGTTAGGGAAAATAGGATTTTAAATGGGACTGAATTGTATGTCCCCACAAGTAAGACTGTGTGTGTGTGTGTGTGTGTGTGTGTGTGTGTGTGTGTGTGTGTGTGTGTGTGTGTGTGTGTGTGTGTATGTGTGTGTGTGTGTGTGTGTGTGTGTGTGTGTGTGTGGTGTGTGTATTTGTGTTTATTTGTGTGCGTACTTGGCTGATGATTTTATCTCCTGACCGTTCTTCAACCATTTGACCTGGGCATTTGGGTCAACCACTTCCACCGTCAGTACGATTTTCTTGCCCTTATCCACAGAGTAGGCAGACTCCATTCTCTTTAGGAAAGCTGCAGGGGAAACAGAAAACATGACATTGGGTACAATTGTTGTAAGATTGGCAAGGTAGTTTGGTGAACTTTGAGAAACCTTTTTAAATTTTTTTTATATAATAATATTTCCCCTTCCCTACCCTCTCCTTTCCATCTTACCATCGCTGTGCTTGGGCTCAACAGTCTTCATCTTCTTTAGACGCTTGAGCAGACCCCTCAGGTCTGTAATGCCGTACTCAAAAGCAATCTTCTCATACTGGCTGGGGTGAGCGTCCTTCAGAAGGTCCCACACATCTTTCTTCTCCACATCTTCAACTGGCTTCTTCTTCCTGTGGGTGAAAGATGGAAGGAAGAAAGAAAGAGATAAAGATGAAGGTGAAGTGTCCGAAATGAAGAGAGTGGACAAAGGGAGAGGTTTCATAGTCAACAACACAAAAATCTATCAAATCAATGGTCATTCCACTGTGACTCTCAGTTTTCCATTTAATATTACTGTTACAAACGAACGACTCGTTCCAGCACGTTCTATCATACCATCCAATCACCTTTGTACGTGTAATTTAAAGGATAGGCTACATTAAGGGATGTACTGTACACTGCAAATGGATGTAGCATGAAAAATAATAGCCTATTAACAATAATAATGTAATCATATATACATTTTTGGTATGTACAGTGCATTCGGAAAGTATTCCGAACTCTTGACTTTTCCCACATTCAAAAATGGATTAAATAGTTTTTTTCTCATCAATCTACAGACAATACCCCAAAATGACAAAGCAAAAACAGGTTTTTAGAAAAAAATGAAAAATTAATAAAAACACCTTATTTACATAAGTATTCAGACCCTTTGCTATGAGACTTGAAATTGAGCTCAGGTGCATCCTGTTTCCATTAATTATCCTTGAGATGTTTTTACAACTTGATTGGAGTCGACCTGTGGTAAATTCAATTGATTGGACATGATTTGGAAAGGCACACACCTGTCTATATAAGGTCCCACAGTTGACAGTGCATATCAGAGCAAAAACCAAGCCATGATGTCGAAGGAATTGTCCGTAGAGATCCGAGACAGGATTGTGTCGAGGCACAGATCTGGGGAAGGGTACCAAAAAATGTCTGCAGCATTGAAGGTCCCCAAGAACACAGTGGCCTCCATCATTCTTAAATGGAAGAAGTTTGGAACCACCAAGACTCTTCCTAGAGCTGGCCGCCCGGCCAAACTGAGCAATCGGGGGAGAAGGGCCTTGTTCTGGGAGGTGACCAAGAACCCGATGGTCACTCTGACAGAGCTCCAGAGTTCCTCTGTGGAGATGGGAGAACCTTTAAGAAGGACAACCATCTCTGCAGCACTCCACCAATCAGGCCTTTGTGGTAGAGTGGCCAGACGGAAGCCACTCCTCAGTAAAAGGCACATGACAGTCCGCTTAGAGTTTGCCAAAAGACACCTAAAGGACTCTCAGACCATGAGAAACAAGATTATCGGGTCTGATGAAACCAACATTGAATTATTTGGCCTGAATGCCATGAGTCACGTCTGGAGGAAAGCTGGCACCATCCCTACGGTGAAGCATGGTGGTGGCAGCATCATGCTGTGGGGATGTTTATCAGCGGCAGGGACTGGGAGACTAGTCAGGATCGAGGGAAAGATCAACGGAGCAAAGTACAGAGAGATCCTTGATGAAAACATGCTCCAAAGCGCTCAGGGCCTCAGACTGGGGTGAAGGTTCACCTTCCAACAGGACAACGACCCTAAGCAAGACAACGCAGGAGTGGCTTCGGGACAAGTGTCTGAATGTCCTTGAGTGGCCCAGCCAGGAAATAGCTGTGTAGCGACGCTCCCCATCCAACCTGACAGAGCTTGAGAGGATCTGCAGAGAAGAATGGGAGAAACTCACCAAATACAGGTGTGCCAAGCTTGTAGCGTCATACCCAAGAAGACGCGAGGCTGTAATTGCTGCCAAAGGTGCTTCAACAAAGTACTGAGTAAAGAGTCTGAATACTTATGCAAATGTGATATTAAAGTTTTTTTTATATATACATTTGCAAAAATGTCTAAACACCTGTTTTTGCTTTGTCATTATGGGATATTGTGTGTAGATTGAAGAGAAAAAACAACAATTTAATCAACTTTAGAATAAGGCTGTAACGTAACAAAATGTGGAAAAAGTCAGGGGTCTTAATACTTTTCAAATGCACTGTATATGATCCCTGGAATGTGGTAGGTGATCCCTGATCCCTGGAATGTGGTAGGTGATCCCTGATCCCTGGAATGTGGTAGGTGATCCCTGATCCCTGGTACTGTATGTGATACCTACATAAGGCACACAGTGTTAACAGTGCTCACTTTTTGGTAGCTTTCAGCAAAGCACTGAAATCCAGACTGCCTTCATCCTCCCCAGCATCCCTAATTAGAGAAAGACAGTACACAAAATAAGATGTCATTCTAGATTAAGCAGATTTCTATTACATAAAATGCGATGGACATTATATTGTGCTGAAATGCAGTCAAACATATTATGAATAGCACACAATCATACACGTATACAGGTGTGCACGTGCACACACACGCGCATGCACACACAAAGAAACACTAACAAGCTCAAACATGAATAAAAATGCTTACGCTCTTTTGAATGCGGCCATAATATCATGTTCCTCCTCAATAGCCACAGCTGGAATAAGAGGAATTGCATAAAGAACACATCTGGTTTACAGTTGCGTGCATTTAAACTCTAAACTGATTAGTCATTTAGCAGACGCTCTTATCCAGAGCAATTAGGGTTAAATGCCGTGCTTAACGGCACAGACAGATGTTTCACCTAGTCGGTTCGGGGTTTCGAACAAGCAACCTTCCGGTTACTTGTCCAATGCTATTAACGGCTAGGCTACCTGTGTCACGAATTCTGCCGAGACTGCTCCTCCTCCTTGTTCGGGCAGGCTTCGGCGTTCGTCGTCCCCGGAGTACTAGCTGCTACCGCTTGATTTTCTCTATGTTTGTTTGGTTTTGTCTTGTTGGTGCACCTGTTTCGTATTATGTATTGATTAGGTCACCTATAAGTTTCCTTTGGTTTTGTTTGCAGTTGTGTGTTGTTGAATGCCTGTCCGTTGGTGTATGTTTATTGTTTTCTAGTGTTTCGTGTTTTACGCACCATTTGCGTAATCGCTCGCCTCCTGTGTGTTGAGGCCCGTTATTTTTGTATTCGTCTATTTGACAATTAAAGTCGGTTCGACTAAGCTTCTGTGTCCTGCGCCTGACTCCAACACCGCATCCACATCAGCCCTTGACAACCTGCCGCACTTGTAATACCCCTTTCTTATGTTAAGAACCTTTGATTGTGCATTCATTGGAGTTTAACACATTTTTCGATACATCAGATAATGATAGGCTCACTGTTTAGTCATTTTAACTAACATTTAATCCAATAGCAAAAAAACACATCATACAATCTTCTAACTGTTCTTTTTGAAATTCTGAATAGAAGGAATAATAGATGGTAAATAACATTTTCCATTCAGTATTTAGGTATAACTTGACATTGATCATTTTTTTAGGTTTATGGGTGATACATCATCACCTCCTGACAAAGGCTATGATGCCTTCTGCTCTACAGAACATACCAACAAAATATGCCTTTAACTTAAAGGGTCCCTTGGGTCCCTTGAGGCAGTGGTTCTTAAACCTCTTCTCAGGAACCCCCAATCGTTCCATGTATTTCATCCATTTCAAAGGTAGCACACCTGATGATTCAGCTCATCATCAAGCCTTGTAGATGAATCAGATGTGGTGGTAGTTAAGGGCTACAAATAAATTGTGAAATGTCTTGGGGTCCCTGAGAAGAGGTTTGAGAACCACTGCCTTAAGGGGACAGTGGTCAGTGTTCCCAAAACATCCCACTCACCCTCCACGGAGATGTCAAACGCGCTGCTGTCACACTTGTCTTTGGAGGTGACCTCACACCTGTAGGCCCCAGCGTCACCAGGGACCACCTTGATTATCTTCATGTCCCAGGTGTAGATCTAAGTGGAGTAGAACATTTAAGTGTATGTGTGTGTGTGAGTGTGAGCGAGTGACAGAGAGAGAGAGAGAGAGAGAGAGAGAGAGAGAGAGAGAGAGAGAGAGCGAGAGAGAGAGAGAGAGAGAGAGAGAGAGGGGGGGGGGGGGGATTGGTGATGCATAGAACATTCACACACTTTTGTCCTCTTCCCATCCAGCCAACCCCACCCACTTGCATAGACCTACCTTTGTGGCTCTGTCGTAAGTCTCTTTGAACTGCATGTGTTTTCCTGCCTTGCTGCCCAGGTCCAGCCACTTCCCCTTCAGCCATTTAATGGTGGGTTTCCTTGATAGCGTAGTAGAGTCCACTTTGGCAGTAAACGTAATGTCCGTTCCTGCCATTCACAATCAACACTCAGAAAGCCAGTAAAGGAGTATAATTTTGGCCATTTTCTCTTTGTAAGTGTACCTATACCAAAGTTCCTACAGTACAGGTGAATTGTGTAAACTTCAGGGCAACAGGTTGGTAAAGTACATGACAGAATTAGGCCTACTGTAGTATTTATTTTCAGCAAATAACTACTCAATGCAAAAATTGCCTAGGTGAATACAAGGTAGTAAGACAAATTGGTATATGCATGCTAGGATGTAGCTAGTATTAGTCAACTGGCAGTGTTGTTTGTCTAACCTGTCACGGCAACCGTAGTCTCAGGGTGCTGAAGAAACAGTCCTGTAATCTCCTGCGACTGATGGGACTCTGAGGGGTGTGAGGGTAGAGATGAGAACACACTTCCAAACACACACATACACACATACGCACACGCACTCACAGATGTAGGATATTAATTTGATCACTCTTTTGTTGCTGAGAATTGTCCTGCTCCTGCACAGGAAGCAAGCAAAAGGAAGCAACCTGGTCTCATACCATTTTTTTTTACATACATATTTTTAACAAAGAGATGTTTTGATGAGCACTAATCAGTTGTTTGGATACCTCTTGAAACACATACATACACACACAAGGAAGCAAGCACAAGGAAATAACCTGGTCTCACACCCTTTTTTTGTAACATATGCACGTTTTCAACAATCATAACAGACATTTTTGGATGAGCACTAATCCATTGTTTGGATACATCTTGTAACACACACACCCACATACATACACAGATCCAGAAAGAATCATAATACTGTAAACCCATATTAACTGTGCAGGAATGTTACCAGAATAATCAATACCACTGAAACAATTGTGAAAATCAACAAGTCATAAAATCAAGATACTGGACTGGACCACAGTCTTTCGACCATGACAGACAACGGAGGAATTGTTTCTTGTTATGTTTAACTTCTTTTGGTGCTGGTTATGCTAGGGGTCTCTAAATAAAGTAAAGCAGTTAATTTGTTACTATTAAACAGATTCACCATTTCACAACATCCAGAATTAGAATGCTATTTTCTGAAGTAATCAAGATTTTTGTCATCAAGATCTATGATTTTTTCCCCACAACTATGTGTTAGAGCAATTGAGTGTGCAGGTAGGCTACTTTACTACAACATTACAAAAAGTTGGTAAGACTTTATAATAGTGGTGGGAACCAATATCGATAATTCAGTATGATATCGATATCATTGGATATTGATATGAGCAAGGCATATCGTGATATTCGTTTATCCTTAAGCAATAAGGCCCAAGGTGTGTGGTGTATGGCCAATATGTAGTACCACAGCTAAGGATTGTTCTTATGCACAGTGCAAAGCGGAGTGCCTGGATACAACCCTTAGCCATGGTATATTGGCCATATACCACAAACCCCAGAGGTGCCTTATTGCTTTTATAAACCGGCTACCAACATATTAAAACAATAACTGACATATTTTCATAAAAAACACTATTTTGAAATGTAAATTCATACTATTTCATCCGTCCACCAGAGGACATAGTCTGGATGAAAATCTGGTTGCAATCAAATAATTTTTGCTATGCAGGCAGGCTAACCTTTCATCTGTGGGCTAACGTTCTTGTCACTTGCTAGCTAGCCATCGACTTGCTAGTTAGCCTCTGCAGCTGAAATGACAGTAAAGCAGCTTCATTTTTGTTTGTCCATTGTAATGATGCTGATGCATTATTTCGCCTGGGTCAGGTCAGAAAAGTTGCTGTTTCGTCAGGACACCGTTCTATATCGTGGAGCTCCGCCCCATAGGGGAGCTCTGCTCCTAATGGTTTACCCTCTGCCCTAAGGCAGCAGCAGCCTGAGACAAAATTATGCACACACCTACAGCCAATAGGAGTACAGGTGTCCCTATAAGAGGGGACGCTTCCCCTCAATCAGCCTCCCTTTTTCTTCAGCGACTGGACTAGACTGAAGAAGCCAAGAAGAGACGAAGAGAAGACTCAGGACGAAGAAAACGCCGTCGATTTTCCAGATCATCGACGTCGTCCTACAATGAGCACACCAAGCTTATCCATAGGGTAAGTATTTAACAAAAGCTCTTTTCAGAGCTCAATGTCGCTGTTCCCCTTGGCGGCTGTCGACCCCCCCGACATATGTTTCGTGGGTTGAGGGACACAGCACGCCAGGGACAGCTTCATTAATCCCCCACTATGCGCCAGCTGCGCCCTCCCTTTTGAAGGAGTGGAAGCAGCGTTGGGCATTTTTAGGGAGGATATCCCTCTTGAGGATGTGCTATCAGTGTTAGTCTCAGCTTCTGAGGCATCATCTGAAGGCGCTGACTCAGGAGATGACAGGGCTATTGGGGAAGAAATGAATATTCTATTGGAACAATTCATTACACTGACCCAGATGTTTAACACCCCTTTTCCTTCGGGAAATTGTGAGGTCATTACATCCCTGGATGATGACGCCACAGCCTCTCTGTGCCTGAATTCTCAGGTCTCATTGAGTGGGCTGCTAAACAGCGGGAGATTAAGCTGCCCCCCATTCCCTCCAACCCGGAAGTGGATATGAGGAAGGGCGGCCGTTACTCTCGCTACAGCTTGGCGTCAGACGGCGGCCTCCAGCAGCAAGGGAGCGGGCCTCGCCCCCCCTGCAGCGCCAGAGGTGCCGGCGAGAGAGGTCATTAAAGCGTCATCCTGGCATCACCCGAAGGGCGGCCAGAAGAGACGCCGTTTATGACAGGCGAGGGGGAGAGAACGGAAGACGGCACAGCGCCTGCTGTGACCGAGCCCACTGTCCCCCCCCACTCTACCGTTGAGTGTATGGAGGAGAATGTTTTTTGTTGATGTATGTAATAAAGAGTTGGCTCTACTTGACACTGTCAAAAAAGAGCCCCTTTTCCATAATACATCCGAGAGCGTTCGACCTTCCTCACTCTCGCTCTCTCTCTTACCACTATGAGTGCAGCTCAGCCCACCATGGTGCGTTGCTGAATGCACACATAAGGCAGGTATATAAAAGGTATTAAGTGTACCTTATAAAGACCTCACTTTACAGACTCCTAGGAGTGCTGTAGTGAGTGTCTCACATAGCAGGCTGCAGTCTCAGCCAGATAATGGCATGATGACGCGACCGCTATTCGGGACGGCGCTCTGTCTCAGGCTAACGCCTCAGTCAGTGCAGTTCAGACCCGTGCTGCGTTCACGGAGGGCCTGATTACTACGGTTACGGGCGTAACCAACGTATCAGTGCCCCCGTTTCTCTCAGAACGCGCTGATAATAACCACATTGGGGATGGCGCACTATCACAGACTAAGGTCTCTGTTAGTACGACCCAGACCCATGCTGCGTTCAGGAAGGGCCCGATTACCACGGTCACGAAGGTGCCCAGTGTATCGGCGCCCCCACCTTTTTCTGAATGCGCCCAGGCTCACCACACTGAGTGTAGTTCAGCCCACCAGAGGTGCAGAGCTGAACACACACAGGAGGTGAAAGGAGGAATAATACCTAGACGCCGTCTTGGTTTATCTCAAAGAGACCTCACATTACAGACTCCAAGGAGTACTGTAGTGAGTGCCTCTCATAGCAGGCTGCAGTCTCAGTCAGGAGACATGATGACGCAGCCGCTATTTGGGGATGGCGCACTATCGCAGACTAAGGTCTCGGTTAGTACGAGCCAGACCCATGCTGCGTTCACGGAGGGCCCGATTACCGCGGTCACCAAGGTGCCCAGAGTATCGGCTCCCCCAGGCATCGTAACACAGCAGCTATCTGGGGACGGCGCATTATCGCAGACCAAGGTCTCGGTTAATGCGATTCAGACCCATGCTACGTTCACGGAGAGCAGGATTACTAGCGTTATGGGTATAACCAAAGTATCAGCTCCCCTGACAGAACGAGCCAGTACTCACCGCACTGAGCGTGAATCAACCCAACAGGGGTGCAGAGTTGAACACACACAGAAGGTGAAAGTTAAGAAGGTATCAAGGCGCCGCCTTGTTTTACCTCATAGAGACCTCATACTACAGACTTCTAGGAGTACTGTAGTGAAGGGCTCTGATAGCGAATTGCAGTCACCTAATGGTGCCCTGCCGGGGATGGTGCCCTGCCGCAGGCTGTGGCCTCGGTCAGCGCAATTCAGACCCGCGATGCGTTCAAGGAGGGCAGGAATACGACGGTTACGGGTTTAACCGACGTCCCTACTCCTCTTTCTTTCTCAGAACGCATTTCCTCTCCCTTTCACGGGAGGCCCACCTTGGGCTGTTCCACCACTTCATTGTTGGGGAACAGTGGCGGTAAGGGCCATAGAGGAATCCAGGTCCTTCCTACTGGATGCACCACAGATTCGCGCCCAGCCACTTTCTCTGCATTGCTGGCAGTGGCGAAGAAGCTGCACCCTCTCACGCTGGCTAGAACAGACGTTGCAGAAGGGTTATGCTCTCCAATTCCACCGGACCCCACCCCCGTTCAGGGGAGTGGTGGAGACGGTGATGAAAACGCCAGACAAAGTGGCCGCTCTGATGACAGAGATTACGGAACTTTTGGCGAAGGAGGCGGTGACAGTAGTTCCCCGGGAGCAAAGGAACAAAGGGCTATATTCGCCTTATTTCCTAGTGCCCAAAAAGACGGGGGGAGTGAGGCCGATTTTGGATTTACGCATTCTCAACGAGAGCATAACAAAACGGCCCTTCCGAATGCTAACGACAAAACGTCTGCTGGAATGTGTCCAGAGAGGGGACTTTTGTACGAGCATAGACCTAAAGGACGCGTACTTTCATGTGCCGGTTCAGCCGCGTCACAGGAAGTTTCTGCGGTTCGCCTTCCAAGGGGTGGCGTACGAATACACGAGGATGCCATTTGGGTACGCCCTGGCACCTCGCACATTTTCCAAGTGTGTGGAGGTGGCATTGGAACCGTTGCGTCGTCAGGGAATACGGCTACTAGCCTACCTGGACAACCTACTGGTTCTCGCCCCGTCAGCAGAGCTGGCGATCACTCACACAACACAGACAGTGATGCATCTCACAAGTCTGGGGTTTGCTGTGAATTGGAAAAAGAGCGCGCCCTGGCCCACTCATCAGATTGTCTACCTGGGGATACAGCTAGACACTGTGAGGATGAGGGCTCGAATTTCGGACCCCCGAAGGGTAGCCTTGTTGCTAGCCCTAAGGAAGTGTCGTCCGAATCACACGGTGACGGCGCTGTCGATCATGTCACTTTTGGGTCTCATGTCGTCAGCCCACTCTGTGGTTCCGCTGGGACTCCTGCACATGCGCAGGACGCAGCGATGGTTCGCCCAACTAAGACTAGACCCATTGCGTCAACGTCATCGGTTGGTGGTGGTTCCCCTCTCGCTCAGT